AGTATTGCTTTCCATATAAGCAAGTGTTGTGATTCCCACAGAGATGGTCACTAATGGGATAGGAGGTGATCTGCACAATTGTGAATAGAAGGAGAGAGAGGTCAATAACACTACCTCTCTATTAAAATATGCCTATAACTTACATTTGAAAAATCCTGACATAGGAATACTGCAAATACTAGATGATGATGTCTAGTTAAAAGGTGAATGAGATATTTTAAGGGCAACCATAATACAAACTATATTCATTTTTTATTTTTGGAATATATGTTCCCCACTATTCTTAGGCAAGCAATCTTATGGTGTATAGCGATGAAATCCATGGAGCTATGACAATTAATACCAGCTGAGGTAATATCAGCCTTATGTGATCTGTTATAATCTATGATTTGTTTAAAAAAAAAACCTCTTGATTAAAGCAAAGTTAAAATGAAATATTAACATGATACATTACTTAGAGCAGAGGTGGGAAACCTAGGACCCTGGGGTTGAATCCATCCCCTGGCTTGCCTGGCTCTGACCCCTGAGGCTCAGGGCTCCCCCTCAGCATTGGGGAGCCTAGACTGGAGCACACAAAATCTACCAGCTTGAGTCCCCCAGGCTCTGGTGTGCAAGGGACATGTGGGGAGTGTTTTTCTCCTTCTCAGTAAGGGGCCACTTCAGGGAGAGGTTTTTTGGTTGGTTTGTGTGTTTGTTTTTGTTTTGTATCTTGTTTTCTTCTCACTTATGTGAAGCTTGTGACTGATTTTTTGTGGGTTAGTAACCCCCCGATCCAAAAATGGTTCCCCACCCCTGACTTTGCGTATCTTATCACAAATCTATTTTGATATAGCTTATTTTGAAATTTGGCGAATCTACACAGCACCACATTTTGAAATAACACACTATTTCGAGCCATTCCTTATCCCTCATGAAAAAAGACTTACCAGGATGACAAAATAGCGAGCCCGTTATTTCAAAAAATATTTCAAAATAACGGGTGACTTGTGTAGATGTGGGGTAGCTATTTTGGAATACCAGATGCAGTGTAGACGTACCCCTAGAGTCTGGGGAGCCCTTCTCTTCTTAAAAGCACCAAATACCAGCCATCTTTCTAGTGTTTCTCTTGTGTAAATATCTGGTGTGAAAGCTTTTTCATTACAAGAACCATCCATATTTTGCAGTTTGCTTAAAATATCTTTTTGTAAAGAATATACAGACATCACAACAGAAGTTCTCTACATCATGCATTGAAATCTACAGATGTGTACATATAGATTTACATAAGAAGATTCCATTTATAAGCAGTTAATTAGGAGTCAGTGAGCTGTAAACTACCAAGAGGACTAGCTTTGCAACATCAGCTTGAAAAAAGTATTTTTGAAGTAGTCAAGAATATTTTGTTTTCTTCGTATATTTGAAAAATCAAATCCCACTTGAAGCTATTTTCCCAGTAAAGCCCTTAGTGACTTCTGTATTCATCTGGAGTTCTAAAGGGAGCCAGGCAGTCAATCAAAGGTATGAAAGAAAAAAGAGTGATTTTTAAAGTAGATTTAAAACAATTGACCTAGACAAAACTATATACTCTAGACTACAGTATTATTGTGTATGCTTCTTGTAGATACTAGCACTTTTAAAAGAACCATTTATACAAGTATTTACAAAATAATGATAGGATGCCAATCATTATGAATGTTATTTAGTTTTAGGAGTCCCAGAACAAAAGTAAAGGTCAATTTTGGCACATCATCTGAAAGCCATAGAGGTTTTACATTCAATTTTGTTTCTAAAGTTATTAATTACTATTCATTTTAAAGCATAAAAGATCACTCTATTCATTTCCAGAAATTGAAAATGTATTCAAATTAACCTTGCAACTGTTATCTATATCTATTTATCTAGCAAAAAAAAGCCCAATTCTCTGAGGCTACCTGATTTTCATGTTGGTGGGTAGATTTATATTGCTGACCCAAAACCCATTTGACACATAGTTCAACACTACACTATCATGGCACCATATATAGGGCATCTGAAGCCATTTTAGAACTTCTTTTCTCCATCTGTTCCTGCTATGCACCCCCGTACATTTCTAATTTCACTTCTGAGCTGGCTATTGGAATATTCAGGTAAACATATTTCTGATACAGACAGGTTGGGAACTTATTGAGAAAGGACATTACTGGTATTATGGATTTCTTCAATATCAGCGAGTATCCATATATACATGTTTCTTTCAGCAGCGGAAATCCCAGAAGTATGATTTCATCTTAATAATTTGTACTGTGGTAGTATGTGTACATACAGTAGGACCTGATTCTGTTGTGAGACCAGAATCAAGAACTTCATGTAATGAATGCTCCCTGACAATAGTAGTTCTAATTGTAATATAGGAAATGCCTGTTGGACTACACTAGTCAGAATCTAAGATCGATGATTAGTTGCAGTATAACTCAAGGTCTCTGTCTTATCTTACCAAAATTATTCCCACATGTATGCCATATCCTATGCTTGTTTCAATACTCTGCTTCCCCGCTTGCTCTTTTTCAACTCATCCAAAAATGCTGCTGTCAAAGTTTTATTCTTCTTCTGCCACTGACTGAATTAATCCCTCCTTTAAATCCATTCTCTGGTTTCCATTAGCCTGTTTGCATTACAATTTTAGGTCCTTGGTCTCACTTTCAAGGCCCATAACAACTCTGCTTCTTCCCATTTCAGTTCTCATCTTCTCCTATAATTCTTTAAGATGACAGCCCCTTTTCCAAGCTACCTGGCTTAATGCCTCTTTTGTTTTCTTCTCTCATCCTGTTCTCCAAACTTTTTTCCATGCAGCCCTTATGTTTGTAAGGTGAAACTCTCTTCATCTCCTTCTTCATTCAGAAATGCTGCGCTCTTTAACTCTATTTCTTCCTATAATTTCCTTTGAGTAGGAAAAGTACTTGGTACATTCTCAGTGGCATTGTGCACTCCCATGGCACTTAACAATTAATAATGTAGGTGTGTATAACATTTGATGTGCCTTGTATGTCAATACACCCTTCGGGCTAACAGCTATATTTTCAGCTGGTATGACCATTTCACTGAATCTAATGGGCTTCACACCAGGCACTACAACTCTGGGGAAACCTACAGAGTAGTGCTTTAAAAGTTCAGACCAACAGTCAGTATAACACTTGAAATTGATTTACCCATTGAGAATATTGAACTTCATTGCTATGGTGATTAAAGCTTAATTTACATTTTTAAAAGCATTTAAAACATTTTTAAGTGTGACTTCAAGCTGATTGTCCAGCTCTTCTAAGTTTACTTTAATAGGAATGGAATTTTTCTGCTGTGTTGCAAGTGATTATGTAGACAAAGGAATCGTTAAAATGCTTTTTGCTGTGATAAAATTGATTGAGCAAGTACAGAGGTTCTAACTCTCCCCTGTTACGCTCTGAAATTGTTTTTTTCATTCTTTTTGAAACCAAAGGGAATTCCTCTTGAAATGAACAAATATTTCACATGGTTAAGTATTCATAAAATGAACAAGAGGGAGAAAGTACAGTATCCAATATTTGGATGAAAACTATAGAACAAAAAGGATAAGTAAATAAGAGAGAGAGAGAGGTTTTTCTTTGGTTTTGGCAGCCTGGATGAATATTCACCTGTTGCTCTTGTAATTATGGGAGTTAGTCAAGTTGCTGTTTATTTTATTCACAGGCATTTGAATAAAAATGGTCATGCATATTCTTTCACATGAGAGGCATTCAGGGATGGAGTTTTTTTGATGTAAAAATGTAAACAAAAAGTAATCTAATCTGTTTATCTAACACAGTCATTTGGAATATGTTTACCAAATATATATAAATATATATATATCCTTCTCCCATTACAGACAATGGGAGGTCAGGCATTGATTTCAAGGGGATAAAAACTGGGATCTAAATGATCTTGTTTGAACTCAAGTGTGCATTGTAGAAAATTTTCCAGGCAAGATAAACTACACTCTCTTTCTCTTTCTAATTAGACAGGTTAAAAGTAGAATAGCAGGGAAAAAACCCAACAAAATTAAAAAAACAGAAAACAGCATTTCTGCAGGGAGCTGTAAGTGAAAAATAATTTTACATTTTGCATAGAAATTCTGTACATAGCTACAATTTATTTTCCATTAGCTTTATATTTATGAAGTAATAAAAATATAATAAATATGTTTATCCACATTTTCTCCTGCATTCTTGCATATTTAGGAAAAACTACAATTAGTATGGGATACCAACTAGCAGTTTTTAATTGTTTAATTCTCAAGTGGAGGACTATTATATGCAGTATAAGAAGAAAATACATTATTACTATAGAGTATGATTACATTACATTGCTATATAACTAATTAAGTTTACTGTTAAAGTTAGAGGCTGTCACAATTGTTATTCAACTTGCTAGAGCAATGATCTAGAAAACCTGATATTCCTTCCATCTTGAGAAGAACAGTACAACTCAGAGTTTATCTTTTCTGATACTTTTTAATAATCAGTGCTCCATATACTCTTTGACAGTTTCTCCTCCTTAGAGCTATATGCATTGATCACAATACTCACATTTTATTACTTTTGCCTTTGCTGAAATTGACAAGAGCCAAGACATCTGATTTCTATGAATAACTTTGTGATGGAAAAACTATCAAGATTCACACGCCACAGCTCTTTGCTCTACCCCTGAAACAGGTTGCACTTTGGGGCAGCTAAAAAAAGAATCAATCCCATCTCTAGTAATTATTTTCTATTCATACAGTTGGTCTGAGCTGATTACAGTGCCTCACTGTACAAAATAAGTATGTTCAGCACCCCACTGACTCACTCAGTTCCAGGATGCTACATGTGTGCATATTGTGAAGACACAATGGTTTTTTATTCTCAAAATTCTCTTAATATAAAACTTACTTTTCATAATTTTTTTGTTGTTGTTTTCATTTAATTGGTACTTTCTTCACTTCCTTTCCCATATTGGTTCCCATGAGTTTGTTTGGCTAGAGACTGGTAGAAAGAGACAGCTGTAAAATGCTAACCCTGAAACTCAAAGAGCAGGTGGCTGGGACTAAGGGACTTATTCTTGGGGGGTTTAAATAGTGGAGGATGGTGGGAAAAAGGAAGCGAATATTAGCAGCTGTGTCCCACACCAAAAAAAGAACAACTGCTAGGCGTTTGTGCCATAACACCTGTTGAAGGCTGGCAAACTAATGTCTACTGTGCTCTCTTTATTATTTATTATACAGAAGAAAAAAACAACTGCTGATGGAAAAGAGAAAAAAAGAACATGTTTCTCCAGAGGGCAAACCTATGACTCCTAAAATGATGTTTCTTTACATTCTGATTTTTCTTTAAAGACCAGCTTCATCTCCTCTTAAATTACTATTACTCAGTTTATTATGGCAAGATTTAACACTGCATATCATCCTAAGGACTCCCATTCTTTGATGTCTGTTTTGAATTACAGCAGATGAAATGACAGTTTTAAAAGGAAAGGAAAATATAAAAATAGTTTCTCTGATACCCTCTTAGCCCTATGTAAAGACATATGATATGAATGAGGTTGGTGCTGTTAATGAATTTGAATTATTGTGAATGTTTGGATTTCATATGAGTTTGTGTTGAGTGTTGGGTCACTTCATAATTCCTTTCCCAAATCTCTATCTCTTATTTAATAGCTTTTATAGAATTTGATATGATTGAATACTGGAATTTGAAGGATTTGAATTGACCAACAGCTTGAATTGCTTTTTATGCAGGTGTAGGAGAGGCAGAAAGCTCTTAAAGAAAAGTAGGAGAAATAATCAGCCCATGATAACCAAGTAAGTGATTATATGTCATATATGTGTTCGAGTTCTAAGATCAAGAGTTTATTAAGCTGTTTTCACTCATTATTTGCGTTTCAGAAAGACCCTCATTCTTTTGCAGTGGCAGTGAGACCAATTCCAGAGGTCATTTGGAACCCCTCAATTAAAGTGAGAAGCAGGTGAGATTGAGTACAGTTCTGAGATAATAGTTTTATAGATAATACAGTACTATCGGAGCAGTCCCATTGAAATGAATGAGTCTAGGAGTAGGATCAGGAAGGATATCAGAATCCTCCCATTGAAAATGCAGTGGGGATAATGAGAGATGTAACAGTAATTCTGTATGCCATCTTACATCTAAAATAGCAATGTTGTTTAATTCAAACATTTCACATGAAAAACACCAACAGTTTACAGTAGAATTGTTCATGTCTCAGGATGTGGAAGAAAACTTTTCTTTTCTTACAAATATAACACTTTTACTCATATATTTCAATGAGCTCCATAATAAACTATATCTAAGGGTATGGCTACACTACAGCACTAATTCGAACTAACTTAATTCAAATTAGTTAATTCGAACTAAGCTAATTCGAATTAGTGCATCCAGACCTAAAAACTAATTCGAATTAGTGTTTTGCTAATTCCAACTAGCATGTCCACATTGAGTGAACCCTGAACCCAAGTTAAGGCTGGCCGGAACCAGGACTTAGAGGGTACGTCTAGACTACCGGGTTTTGTCGACAGAAGTTTTGTCGACAGATACTGTCGACAAAACTTCTGTCGACATAGAGCGTCCAGACACATTGAGTTCTGTCGACAAAGCAAGCTGCTTTGTCGACAGAACCCTGTAGTCTAGACGCAACCTTACAGGCAATAACACCTTCTGTCGACAGAACTCTGTCGATAGAAGGTGTTATGCCTCATAAAATGAGGTATACCAGCGTCGACAAAACTGCTGAGTTCTGTCGACATTATGTTGACAGAACTCAGCGGTAGTGTAGACGCTGGTATAGTTTTGTCGACAAAAGTCCACTTTTGTCGACAAAACTCAGTAGTCTAGACACACCCAGAGTGTGGAGCTAGCTGAGGGCTGTTCCTAAAGTGACCCGAACCCTACCCCAGACAGACAGTTCTCAGGGTTCCCCACTTGCTTGTCTACCTCAATGAGGGACAGCTAAGCAGTCCTGACTTGGAGTGCCCTGCATGCCCACACTCGGCACATCACAGCACTCGGCCATCAGCCCGGCTGCACTTGCCGCACGCTGCCATCCGGAGGGGGGGTCAATCGGGGAGCTGCAGGAGAGCTTCCACCCCGAGGAGCCCGCAGAGCCACCCCAGTCTTCCCCATCGGGGGTCGGGGGCTTTTGCCGCATTCCTTCCTCACCTCCTTCCACTTACGCCTCCCTAGCCCTCCTTCCTGATGTAAAAAATAAAGGACACGGGTGGTCAAAAATAGAAACTCTCTTTATTTAACAAAACTGGGAGTGGGAGGGGATGAATCTCTGGGGAGTCTGGGAAAAGGAGGTGGGAGAGGGGAAGAGAGAGGGTGGGAGAGGGGAGGGGGAAACCTGGGAGGAGGGAGCTGCAAGGGGAAAGCCACGGGAAGAAGGAGGAGGGGAAGTATAAAACTATGGTACGCCATATCTTCAGTACTGTGCACAGATGTGGTCTCCTCACCTCAAAAAAGATGTTTTGGCCTTGGAAAGGGTTCAGAAAAGGGCAACTAAAATGATTAGGGGTTTGGAACAGGTCCCATATGAAGAGAGGCTAAAGAGACTGGGACTTTTCAGCTTAGAAAAGAGGAGACTGAGGGGGGATATGATAGAGGTCAATAAAATCATGAGTGGTGTGGAGAGGGTGAATAAAGAAAAGTTCTTCATTAGTGCCCATAATAGAAGGACTAGAGGACTCTAGAAGAAATGAATGGGTAGCAGGCTTCAAACTAATAAAAGAAAGTTCTTCTTCACAAAGCAAATAGTCAACCTGTGGAACTCCTTGCCACAGGAGGCTGTGAAGGCTAGAACTATAAAAGAGTTTAAAGAGAAGCTAGATAAAATCATGGAAGTTGGGTCCATGGAGAGCCAGGTGGTAGGAATGGTGTCCCTGGCCTCTGTGGAAAGCTGGAGATGGATGGCACGAGACAAATCACTTGGTCATTGTCTTTGGTCCATCCCTTCCGGGGTACCTGGTGTTGGCCGCTGTCGGCAGACAGGCTACTGGGCTAGATGGACCTTTAGTCTAACCTAGTATGGACGTTCTTATGTTCTAAGCTCAGTGCTCATGGTCGGGGGTCTCACTGGACCAATTTGATTTTCGTGCAAACCTGCTCCTGGGTTCACATGTAGCCTTTGGTGGCCAGGCTGGCAGCTATCCTGCGCTAGACAGACACTTTCCTGTGCCTAGTGCGGAGATTGTGGATGTTGGAGGCCTCCCCCCAAATCTGGATAAGGTCCACGATCTCCGCACTAGACCAGGCGGGTGCCTGCCTCTTGTGGCCCCCGGCAGGCTCCTGGGGGCCGCCAGCCTGG